AGGAAGATCCTGTTGATACAAAGCCACATTACAGGATATAAGAATTCATATAATTATAATAATTATTGCTATTTTTCTGGTATACAAAATGTATTCATATTGTTTGACCATGCAGGTTTTCCAGCATATTGTTTATGACAATAACCCTTTGGTTCAGGTATTCTCCCTTCTCTTCTGCTCCACCTACTTATGGTTACAAATATGTTTATAAACCCACCACTATCTCTGAGCAGCTTCAAGCTGGGTTTCCACTGAGGAGACCGGATTGGGACCCCAACACTGAAGCAGCAGAGAAAACTCCAGGATGTGTCTCAGTGCACAAGCGGAAATTTCATTCAAAAAAGCAAAAAGTTTTCCTTCTTTATCCAGAATGAGGATTTAATGGGACTGGTGATTTAATGAGACATCTCAAAAGTTTTTAGATTGGTCACTTGAATATTCCATGGACTTAAGCTTGTCTGCAGGACTTTGGTATAAACAGATTCACGTTTTCCTCCAACCAAAATTTGGAAACTCGCTGCATTGGGAGAAATACGCTTATGGTCAGATGTCAAAGTTACTAGCCTTAGTTTCAATATTGTTAGCATAGGGGCCTCTAATATAATGTCTTGTGTTAATGTTCATAGAGATTGTTTATGAAACTGATATTAATTGTAAATTGACCAATTGTATAGTCTTAGAAATAGTGATTGCCTTTCATTTTGTGATGAGTTTGAGATAACCTCTCTTTGTTATGAGTCCTGGTATAAGGAACAAGGATCACAAATATTGATAGAGGTAGAAAAAGCTGCATGTCAAGGCTTCACAACCCATGGTATACCCCCTGCAGAGGCTGGTAGTCAAAGACGGGTTAGAGAATTGTGGAGAAATATCCAACCTAAGACAGAGCCTGAGTATTAAACCTCTCATGGCTTGATGACGGGTAAGGGATTTCTCTGGACATTTCTCACCTAAGACAGGCACAGCCTTTCTGCTGAACAGGGAAAGTCCCTGCTCTAAATATAATAAAAAGGGGGATATGTGGGAAGCCAGCCATGGCCCATTGGCTTTTTGAAAGATAACATTTGTTCCTCTTTAAGGACTGCACGTGTTAAACTTGTTTCTGACCCTGCGCGAGAGAAACTCGGATAGCCAAAGATCTGTAGGAGTCAGGTACTTCCTGTTAAAAATCTGACGTTAGCTGTAGGAGTCAGGTGTTTCCCGTTGATGTGCCTTTAAAAGGCTGATGCCTGCCTGCAGTAAACGTCGCCTTGATCAGACTCTTGTCTTGGCGTCCTTCCTTTCTCTCTGCCCCATCTCCACCCTGCTGCTCTTTCAGGTTTGAGGCACTGCAGGACAGCGCTCTGCATCGCCGGTTCGCGACAGCCCAGCCCCTGGTTCCCTATGCCATGCTAGCTTCTCCTCGAAGGGTTCCCCCAGGTCATGTCCATCTTGCCTGTGCAGTCCTCCCTGTCCCCAGCCTGTCCCATCATCCCCTGTGCACCTACAGGAGGACCACAACCAGGTGTTCCAGGCCTAGGCCGAGAAGCAAAGAGGCTGCAGGCTGTGCAGTAGGAACAGCGCTCCTCAGGCAGTGCAGCCACCTGGAGCAGCCCCTCTGCTCAGGAGGCAGGTCTCCCCAGCCCGCCTTTCTTCCTGGGTTTCTGATGTTTTCTCTAACCTCAGCACAGAGGCTGTGGTGGCCAGGGTGTGCTGGGCCACGTGGGCCGCCTCCACTCCGCAGAAAGAGTCCTGAGGGGTTGGCTAGAGGCTGGCCATATGGCTTCCTTGTGCAGAGGTTGAGGCGCTGCTGGCCCACCTGGGCCCCTCTGCCCATGCTCAATAATCGTGTCAGCGCACCCCAGGTCTCTTGCTTCTCCCCATGCCTAGAGATGATAGCTCAGCACAGACACACAGAGAGTGGCTGTGACTCTTCCTGATCCAGGTGTGCCTGGAGACCAGCACCCTGGGAAACTCAGTGGAAGAGGTGGGGCGGTTGATCCACAAGCACGCGGTCTTCCTGGAGGTGCTGACTGCCCAGGGTGAGAAGGTGACCGGCTTGGGCCTTGTGGGCACAGTCAAAGCATCGGGAGTAGGGCGAGTCCTGGATGGGGGTATGGGTGCTGGGTGCATCCCCAGAGGCCACACTTGTGTGCCTGGTTGTCCAGGGTGGGGTGGCCACACCAAGGGACCCACTAAGAGCACTGAGATTGATCTATATCACATGGTCACCAGGAGGCAGTTCAGGTGCTGAGAAAGCATTATGGGCCTGTGGCCATGCAGGGCTGGACTTTCCTTGAAGAAAGGACTGCGCCCTGGGCACTGGCCTTGCCCTTGCACCCCAGGGTGGGTGACCAGGAAGCCATGCCTCTGCCCCACAGATGGCAACTCTGTGTGAGCAGTTGAAGGCACTCCCAGGCCACAGGGGACAGGACTTGCTTTAGGGAATACTGGAGCTTCAGGCTCCGGTGAAGGAGCTGGCAGAAAGCCAGGAATGCGCCCTGCCTTTACCCGGAGGAAACCCCAGTCCCAAAGTTCCTCCTCAGACTCTCCAGCCTCCACAGAGAAAGGTGCTCTGTCAGGGACCCAGCCCTCCCAGGCAGACCCAATGCTGGGTGCTGGCTTTCCACATTGCCACCCTGGGGCTGGTAAGGGAGCATCTGAAGCAAAGGCCACACCATACACCAGTAAGGGCACATTCCCCACCCCTCAGGGAGCAGTAGTCCAGACCTGGGAGGGAGGGGAAGAGCTGGAGAGGTGCAGAGGCTGCTGTGGAAACAGGTGGTGCTGGAGCAGGAAGTGAGCCTCACTCAGGCGCAGGTGGGGGTGTGCAACTGCGGGTGGGGGGCCTGGTCCTGGGTCCTTCCTCTAGGGCAGTGGTGTTCAGTGATATAAACAGCCCATGGAAGCGAACGTACCATAGTTTCACCACCACTGCTCTAAGGGATCGTGGCAGACACCAGCAGAAGGCACTTCAGGGTCCTAAGAGCCACAGTCCAGGGCCTTTCCAGCGAGGGCCCTCTCTGCCAGACTCTGATCCTGGCTTCCTCCACAGTACCTCACGCACAAGGTGGGCTGTCTCTGCCAGACACACCCTGCGGCAGTCCCTGGCCTCAGTCACAAGCATGGAGAAATGAACAGGGTCCAGAAGTGGTATGAGCCCCTCTGGCCTCGCACCCTCCCTGGCCCATCCTCTTCAGGGTTTTAGTCCTCACACTTCCCCCCGACTCCTATTTCCCCCTGCGAGTCTGAACTGTCCCATGGGGATTCACCAATAGCATCCAGTTAATTGTCATACCATTCATTTTCAGTCCTTCAGCCCTTTTTTGCTGAAGGGATTAAGGGACAGGTAGACAGGGAAAGGGGCTCAGTGGCCCCTGGACTAACTGATGCGCCCTGTGGGCAGGAGGGAGTCACTGGAAACCAGGCACCAAATTCAGACCTCCAGGTGCTGCTGCAGGAACTGCTGGTCTGAGTCCAGAGGCTGCGGGCTGAGGTGAGCAGTCGGGCGCCCCCTGCAGCCTTGCAGTGGCCTGGTGCATGCTGGAAGGGCACTGGGCTTGCACGCTGAGCCGCAGGGGCCCTGGGCCTTTGGGGACCTCACCTTCTCTCTCTCTATCTCCTGCTCTTCTCCATCCTCTTCTGTCCCATGTGGGGGCCTTTCCCACCTTTCCTGCAGCCCTGGCAGGCATTAAGGCCTGCAGAAATCTGAGCCCAGCCCTGTTCTAGGATGAGCTGGATGCCCAGAGAGACAGCATCAACCTGGCCCAAACCACCAGGCAACAGCTGCTCACATCTGGGCACCCACAGGCCCTGGCTGCCTTGGACCAGGAGCTGAGCAGCCTGCAAGGGGCCTGGCAGGAGCACCAGGTGCAGCTGCAACAGGCAATGGAGCTGCAGGTTGGTGCCACCCCCAGCCCACCTTGCCTCACCTTCAGGGTCTGTGCAACCTGAACAGTCCCAGGCCAAGCCAAAGCCAGAGGCTGCTGTGCCGGGCTTACCCCACTCCCTCCCATCCCTGCCAGGTCTGGCCTGCTCTAGTCTTGTGTGGTGGAGCCAGGGCCCTGGGTTTGTGGTGACTGAATCCTCTGCCAACTTTCCTCTCACCTCTCCTGTTCTCACCAGCTGTCCCTGACCTCTGTGGAGAAGACAGAATTCAAGTTCTGCAGTGAGGAAGCCTCTGGCCAATGAGGGCCTGGAGGTATGTGTCCATCAGGAGCAGCAGGTTACCTGAGCCTGCACAAGGCTACCTGAGGGACAAAATCGAGACTGGCAGGGCTCTCTGAGCCTGGAAGGCCAGGATCACCCCACCCCAGCCCACCTGTCCCCAAGCAGTTCTTTCCTTATTGGTCCCGAGTATCTCTCGTGGGGGATAGGTTCTCTTTATACCCACCCCATGACAGATGAGTGTGACTCCTGGAGACTTAGGAGATACTTAGGGGTCCATGTCATCCTGCTGGCTGCAGAGAAGGGGGTGGAAAAGCCCTGCCTGCCCTGGAGCCTGGCCCAACCCTCACCCAAACTACACTCAGCCAAGAATCACTATCCTACAGCCAGAAGCAGCCTTGAGGGACTTGAGGGTGACTTTGGGCAGGGCATGGCTCTATGGAGAAGGCTGAGCATGATGGCTGGACACTGAGACTCCTGCTCCTGCAGGACCCCTTGGCCGAGGTGGAGGAGCTCCTTCAGAAGCACAAGAGGCTTGATCGGTGCCTGGAGGCACAGGTGGAAAAAATCAGCACACTGGAGGCCACAGCCCACAGCCTGTACCAGGGCAGAAACTCTGAGACCCAGAAGGCCCCGGCCAGGAGCCAGGCCGTGCTCCTGAGGTACCCATAGCTCTAGGGCAGTGGGAACTGTGAGCAGGCTGGTGTGGGCCTCCCAGCTGTCCCCTTCTGCCCTTCTATCTCCTGGCCCAGGCTGCCTAGCCTCTCCCAGTAGAGGTTGGATACCAGGGTACCCCTACAACACATGGAAACTCCTCACTTCCTTCTTCATTCAGTGAGATACAGTGGAGTTTGACTAAGAATCACACACAGGGAAATAACAGGAAATCTGAGCTAGTGGATCGGAAGAGGGCAGGAAAGAGCACAGTGGTCAGTGTCTGCCCTCCAGGGTCAGAACACCCTTCATTCTCCACTGCTCACAAAAGGCACAACCTGAAGCGGCCTGCTCTATGGCTTAGCTGAGACGCTAAGCTATAAAGAGGGGCTAACAGCAGCCTCCGAGGCCTGCAGCATCTCAGCCAGTGCCTGGCCACTGCAGATCTCTGCCACTCCTTGAACTGAGACCTGCCAGGCTTACACCACCAGGAACCACCCTTCCCCGCTTAAAGCTCATCTGCCTGCAGTGCTCCTCCTGCTCTTCAGGCTTTTAGATCCAAGCAGATAGAGCCAGGAGCCAGACCTCAGACTGGCAGGGGCCATCCTTCCAGAGCACCTGCCAGCACTCACAGGTATCTTGGCTCCCTGTGCTGGTGCCCTGGCAGGGGCTGGGCCACCCTGTGCGTCCTTGCAGGTGGCCCTCACTAGAGTACCTGTGGGTCAAGTTGAAAAACGGCAAAAGTGGTTCCTGGTGGGTCAGGGATTTAGCTCAGTGGTTCCGCCACCTGCTTTGCAAGCACAAGGTCCTGAGTTCGATCCCCAGTACCGAAAAAAAAAACTGTGGTTCCTGGTGGTTCCTAGTACAGTGCTGATGTGACCCCCACCCACATCAGGAGGGCACCTCCCAGCCAGCCTCTCTGCATCTCAGCCACACACACCCCACCACACCTGCTGGGGACACTCTAGCACGAAGAGGGGCATGGTGCAGGAGGATGGGGTGTCAGAATTCCTTTTCCTGTTGCTCATAGAGCTCATTTGTGATCTGTCTTTTTTGTGTATGGCAGTGTATTCAAGGTATTGGTACAGAGGTGCATGTATAGAATGTATAAGTTTATATATATATATATATTGCCATATTGTTATAAACATTACAAATTATATTACATATTAAATACATATGTATTTGAGGGTTCTTGCTTAAAACATTTTTACTAACAGCAACGCATACTTTTTAGTACTTTTTTTTTTTTTTTTTTTT